ATTAGCCCCGAATCCAACAGTTTGAATAACATACTCTAATAACAATGCTGTGGGGGCACTCTCATCTGTTTATACAGCACCTACGGAGAGAAATTTGGCAATATCTGTCAAAATTACACACACACAAACACACACATCTTTAACTTAGCAATCTCTTTTCTGTGAATTTATCCAGCAGATATCTTGAACGTGTGAGACAAAATTATGTACATTATTATTCAATGATACTGCTTTTAAAAGCTGAAGACTGAAAACAATGCCCAGTCCATCATAAGGGCTAGTAAAATAAATCTGTTCTGGCATTCATGTAGTGGAATACTAAGCAGCCATTAAAAGATAAGGAAACTCATTATGGAGTTACATAAAATTCTAAGATATATTGTAAACTAACATATGTAGGACAGTGTATATATTGTTATCTTTATTTTTAAAATGGAGAATAATATAAATTTGTATTTTTCTATAAAATCTCTGGGAAGGTATGCAAGAAACTAATAAAAGTAGTAATGGGATAAGTGATGTTGGCAGGAGAAATTGGTGAACAGGAGATCACAGGGAAGACTGAAACTCAAAACCTCTCTCTTTCTGCACATACACTATTTGAATGAACTATCTATTCAAAAAGAAAAGAAAAATAGCTCCTATAAAGTGAATTCAATTTCCCCTATGTGAGTTTTATGATCCTTACTTCCATCGACTGAATAAAAGGGGTAAGATCCACTTCACAGTACTTTCTGAACACTAGAGGTGTGCTTGGCTCAGTGTCTGTCCCATATTAGGCACTCAGTAAATTTTAGTTGAATTTAAAAAAAATTGTCAGTTTGTTAGACTAATTGGCATCTTATTTTAATTTGCATTTTCCTGATTTCTCCTGATTCTGAGCCTCTTTTCACATTTGGATTTATTCTCTGAATTAATATTATTTGCCCATCTATTCTTCTGTTGAATTGCCTGTTCCCTTGATGTAATTTCTGAGTTCCCTGATTAAACCTCCTTGCAAATATTTTTCTAAATTTGTTGTGTATCTATTAATTTCGTTTAGATGTTTTTTGCAAACAAAGTTTATTTTTATATTGACAAATATGTGTATTTTTGAGGATAATGTATATTCTGCTGTTCTTACATGAAATATTCTATAAATGTCAACTAGATCCAGTAGATTAATGATACTACAGTTCAGTTTTTACTGATTTTCTGCCTGCTGGATGAATTACTGAGAGAGATTGAAGTCTCTGTGATACAAGATTTGTCTATTTCTCTTTGTGGTTCTATCAGTTTTTGCCTTACACATTTTAATGCTGTTAGGTGCATATATGTTAAAGATTGTTATATCTTTTTGGAGAATTTACCTCTTTATCCTTATGTAATGCTTCTCTCTATCCGTGACAGTTTTCCTTTTTGTGAAATCTGCTTTGTCTGACAATATAGCAATTCCAGCTTTCTTTTTATTAGTTTTAGCATGGCAGATTTTTCTTCAGTTACTTTTAACTTGTCTATGTCTTTATATTTAAAGTGAGTTTCTTACATATGGTTCCTGAAAAAATGAAAAACTAGTAAAGGCTGTTGTCTTCCTCCCTCCAAATCAACCCTGGGTAATGACAGAAAGAAGAAAGAAGCAAAAGCTTGAGGAATAAGATAAAAAACTAAGAGGAAACCATAGTTGGTGTTAGGAGTAAGTTCTGAAATACTGTTTTGCCATGCCTCACTTTGCTGTGTGGGACAATCAGTGCCAAACTACTGATTGCTACAGAAATCACCGGCAACAGATCAGGCTTCCTGTAGGATTAGATAAAGGGTCTGTTGAAGTGAGTTGCCAATGAAAAAGTGGGGCTGACCAGATACTATAGAATATTGGGGCATTCACCTCTCTACTCCTTCCCTGCTGCCAGAATTTTGATAAATTATAACAGCCTTCTGCTGCTGGATTGTGGATTTCAACACAGATCCTTACTAAAGAAATAGTAGCAAAGAGAGAGCATCAGTTCTGTGGTGCTTAGAGCTCTTGCTTTCTGCTCCTTAAACCTGTGGGAAGGGATAAAAACTAGGGTCTGCCATTTTGTTCTACCTTTGTATCCATTATTAGAAGGGGTAGTAGATAACACTAGGGGAACACGGCTCATGAACCAAAATATCTAGACACCTAAGGAGTATGATCACCATCAAACACAACAAATTTCACAACATATACCAACAGAAGTAGAATAGGATATACCAATAATTTTAATAACTCAATTATTCATTCAACACAATTTGTAGAGATACAGGGTCTCACTCTGTTGCCCAAGCTGGAGGAATCATAGTTCACTTCATGCAGCCTTGAACTCTTGGGCTCAAGCAATCCTCCTGCTTCAGCCTCCTTGCTAGCTGGGATTACAGGTGTGTGCCACCACACCCACCTAATTTTTAGAATTTGTTTATAGAGAGGAGGTCTTGCAACGTTTCCCAGGCTGCTTCAAACCCCTGGCCTCAAGCAGTCATCCTGCCTTGGCCTCCCAAAGTGATGTGATTACAAGCATAAGGCACTGTGCCCAGCCCATTTAACAATTTTTTTACTGAATACCTACCAAGTGTCAGGTACTAAGGATTCATCAGTGAAAAAGATAGGTGAAAAATTTTGTTCATGTGGGACATGGCAAGGGGGACAGAGACAAAAACATACAAATAACTAAATAATAAACAATTTTAGAAAGTAATATTTACTACAAAAACAATGCAGAGTAGGTAGATTGGGATTGATGAAAGGGTTGCCATTTTAAAATGAAACCCATCCTAAAATTGGAGCCGCAAAGATGCAGGGTTGCAGTGAGGTTGGTAATATGTGAAGAGTGAACAAGAAATCATAAAGCCATGTGAGATTATTAGGTGTGGAAAAATATGAGCTAAAATAAGTAACATAGCCGGGCGGTGGCTCACGCCTGTACTGCCAGCACTGTGAGAGGCCAAGGCAGGCAAATCACTCAAGCCCAGGAGTTCGAGACCAGCCTGGCCAACATGGCAAAACCCTGTCTCTACTAAAAATACAAAAATTAGCCAGGCATGGTGGTGCAAGCCTGTGATCTCAGCTACTCGGAAGGCTGAGGCACCGAAAATTTCTTGAAACTGGGAGGCAGAGGCTGCATAGAGCTGAAATTGCGCCACTGCTCTCCCACCTCGCAACAGAGCAAGACTGTCTCAAAAATAATAATAAATAAAAAATAAAACAATAAAGAACATCATAAATAGCAGATGGATCGGATTTTATGATGCTTTTGAGATACAGAATTTTATTATTTTTGTGCAGTTAAAATCTCTAGAACTTTTCCTTTGTGCTTTCTAGTGCTTTCATGCTTTGAAAAAAACCTTTTTATCCAGAGATATTTTTAGGTTGATAATTAAAATATTTTAAATTGTAATATGCGTATATGGAAAGAAATTCAAACAAAATAGGATAATAGAAAGTAAAAGGCCTCATACACTGCCTCTCCTCCTTTCCTCAGAAGTTATCATTTTTCTAGGTATCCTTCCCGAAATGTTCTTTGTATAATCAAATACATGTAACTTTTAAAATTTATAAATAGGATACTATATATACTTTCTACAATTTGCTTTCTTCATTCACACATATGGCCCTACTCCAGAGACTGAGGTTTTAAATATCAGGAAAAATTTTATTTAGAAGGCAAAACTACAGAGACAAAAGATAATTGGTTACCCAGGGGTATAAGGTAGATAGGGGTAAATAGGTGAAGCATAGAGCATTTATAGGGTAATAAAATGATTATGTGTGGTACTATTATGGTGGATACATGACATTATGCAGTTGTCAAAACTGATAAAACTATACAGCACAAAGAGTGACCCCTAAGGTTAACTATGGATTTTAGTTAATAATGTAGCAGTACTGGTTCATCAGTTGTGACAAATGTACCATAATAATGCGGGATATTAATAGGAGAAATGGTGTGTGTTTGGGTTACAGAGGGTGACATACAGGAATCTGTATTTTCTGCCCTATTCTTCTGTAAATTTAAAGCTATTCTTTAGAAAGTCTTTGAAAAAAACTTCCTTTAGAAAAACTATTCTTAAAGCTTTGTAGAGGATATTTTAAAGTTGGAGGCTAGAGGTCACATATTTGGTAGACTGTTGTTATGGTCCAAACATAAAATAATAAAGGGCTATACTATGGTAGCAAATAAAATTACTTTGAATAGGTTTGCTAATACCTAAGAAAATTTCACATTAGAAATTACTGAGTGGAATTTATAGTTTCTAATATAAAGAAATCATGTGTCAAAAATCAAAAGCAGGAAAAAATATGCATAAAAATTATGAGAACAAAAGCAAATGTGGCTGAAAAGATGCTAATAGCCATAACATGCTGAATATATATATTTTTTAAAGTTAACATGACACAGAGGGACCAGGAAATGCATGTACTGTATTGTTTTATTTATGTTCTTATTTCCAGATTTCTGTTATATATATATATATATATACACACACTTTTAATTCAATTTTATTTTTTTGTGTGTGTGTGACGGAATATCACTCCCTCGCCCAGGCTGGAGTGCAGTGGTGCGATCTCAGCTCATTACAACCTCTGCTGCCCGGGTTCAAGCAATTCTTCTGCCTCAGCCTCCTGAGTAGCTAGGATTACAGGCGTGCACCACCACACCTGGCTAATTTTTTTGTATTTAGTAGAGAATGGGGTTTCACCACATTGGCCAGGCTGATCTCGAACTCCTGACCTCATGATCTGCCCGCCTTGGCCTCCCAAAGTGCTGGGATTACAGGTGTGAGCCACTGCACCCAGCCTGTATTTTCTTAAAAGATCAGCCATTACCAAGTTATTACTGGATGCCTTTAATCTCTTTTGTTAGTGTATCCATATTCCAATAAAAATTTATTTACAAAAACAGGCAGTGGTCTGCTCTATAGGATCTTGCACTAATAAGTTACTTTAATTCTTTAAGTTTGTCTTTATTAAAACACATAATGTACATAATGAAACACCATGATTTGGCATATAGTAAGCAACTGAAAATAGTAGTGGCTATTTTATTAAAATAGTGTGTATCATACAGCTCAAAATGCTGATTATAAGATGAATCTGAAATTCAGACTTAAAAGTATTGTTATTATAGTAACAAGGTTATATTTGGGATTTTAAATTTTGTTCTACCACCAGACGTAGTTTAAGGCTTCTTGTATAATGGTTCTTTGTGATGTTTTTCTGGTCAGAGACACGTGTGCTGAACTCTTGGGACGTGTTCCACTGCTTGTGGATCCTGGTATTTCCTTGCTCAATTTTCACAAGAAATAGGTTTGGCATCTCTAGGAGTATCAAATGAAGATGTTCAGAAACTACACAAGGTGAGTTCATTTTCAATTTTAGAAAATATTCTATTTATATCCATTGATAATGTAGTAAAAGCTTCCAAGTTACTCACTATAAATCATACAGTAATGGTTCTGGAAAAAGCATGGTAATTTTAAAAAGTAACTATTTTATTAAGGTATGGTTGACATGTAAAGCTGTATATATTGTATATAATACAATTAGTTTGGGGATACATTCTAATCAGTTATGCTAATGACAACTTAGATCTCATACAAAAACTCTACACTTTAACTCATCTATCTTCTCCCACATTGTTATGTCAAAATGTACATTTTCATATTGTGCATCAATTAATAAATTACTGTAGCTATAGTTGTTTTTAATACTTTTAACTCAGAATTTAAAATGATTTTATGTACCACCATTACATTACAGTATTAAGAATATTCTGAATGTAACTCTATCCTTCCCTTTACCAGGGAGTTTTACACTTTCACATTTTCATGTTGCTAATTAGCGTCCTTTAGTTTCCACTTGAAGTACTTCAACTTTAGTTTCAATTTAAGCATTTTTTGTGAGGCAAGTCTAGTGGTGATGAACTCCCTCAGCTTTTGTTTTTCTGGAAAAGTCTTCATCTTTCCTTTTCTGAATGACAGCTTTGTTGATAAATTATTCTTAGTTGGCAGGCTTTTTTTTCTTTCAATATTTTGACTATATCATCCCATTCTCTTCTGGCTTGCAAGGTTTGCTGAAAAACCCAGTGAAAGTCTTATAGGAGCTCCCTTGTACATGACAAGTTGCTTTCCTCTTGCTGCTTTCAAAATTCTTTAACTTTTGACAATTTGATTATAATGTGTCTCAGTGAAAAATTGTTCATATCAGATAGGTACTGTGCCAGTGTTTTAGCAAGGTCTGAGAAAGGCATATCTCACACAATGGCATGAAAACCCAATCATCATGCTTATGAACCACAAAAAAGATCAGTGAAGACACCTTTATGTTCAATCTACATGGAATTCTTTGGGAATCATGGATCTGGATGTTCATTTTCCTCCCCAGATTTGGGCAGTTTTCTGCTATTATTTCTTTAAATAAGCTATCTGCCTCCTTTCTCTTTCTCTGCTTTCTATAATGTGCATATTGGTTTAGAGTCCTGTAGGCTTACTTCATTCTTTTTTCTTTTTGTTCCTTTGACTGGATAATTTCAAATGGTCTGTCTTCAAGTTCACTGATTCTTCCTTCTGCTTGACTGAATCTGCCACTGAAGCTCACTTTTGAATTTTTCAGTTCAGTTATTGTGTTCTTTAGTTCCAAAATTTGATTTTTTTTTTGAGATGGAGTCTCACTCTGTCGCCCAGGCTGGAGTGCAGTGGCGCGATCTCAGCTCACTGCAAGCTCCACCTCCTGGGTTCACACCATTCTCCTGCCTCAGCCTCCCAAGTAGCTGGGACTACAGGCACCCACCACCACGCCTGGCCAATTTTTTTGTATTTTTAGTAGAGACGGGGTTTCGCCGTGTTAGCCAGGATGATCTCAATCTCCTGACCTCATGATCTGCCTGCCTTGGCCTCCCAAAGTGCTGGGATTACAGGCGTGAGCCACCGTGCCCAGCCAGAATTAGATTTTTCAATGGTTTCTTTGTTGAAATTCTCATTTGTTCATGTATTGTTTTCCTGATTTTATTTAGCTCACTGAGATTCAAGATGAGTGTTCTGAATTCTCTATCAGGTAATGTATAGGTCTTCGTTTATTTGGGGTCAACTGCTAGAACTTTAATTTGTTCCTTTGGTTGTCATGTTTTCTTGGCGTGTGCGTGATCCTTTAAGCCTTGCCTTCTACCTTTGCATTTGAAGAAATAATCACTTCCTCCTGTCTTTACTGACTAGCTTCAGAAGGGAAAGACATTCACCAGTCAGCCTGACTAGAGATTCTGAAGGTCTCTCAGACCTTTTCTATGGATATGCCCACTCCACTCCTCTTGTTCTATCTTGGGAGGGGAAGTCTTAGGATTGTGTGATTTCTTTCAATCTCACAAAGCTAGACTAGGTGCTGAGAACCTCCTTTTATTTTCTCTAGTGCAGTGCCCCAGAGTGTTCTAGGTTGTGTGCCTTCTTCCAATCCAGTAGGAGCCAGTTGCTGATATCTGTGTACTATCTGCCGGGGCCTGCATACACTATCTGCAGGGGAGGGTGGGCTGCTGGCTAGTGGATGGGTACATGGAGTGTTGGGTGTGCCTGTCAGCTAGTTGAGGGGTTCTGCAGGTGAAGTGTCCTGTAGGGCTCATGGGTGAGCCTATGGTGGAGTCTGCAAGCCAGTTAGTAGACTCCACATTTGGCTCTGAAGAATCATGTGTTGGTTGCTATGAGCCTCTGCTTCTTTTCCCTTTTCCTAGCTATTCCTAGACTATTCATCTGTGAAGAGTCCCTCAGTATTCCGGATAGGGAAGAACAGAAGTGAGCCTTTTGGGTGGCACCATGCAAGGCTAGGGAAGCTGGGCACTCACTTGACTCTTACTTTCCTTCCTGGGAGAACTCATGGGCCAACTCTGCTGCCTTGGAGGAGAAGGATGTAGGTAAAGTGAAACTCTGCTTCTTACCCTCTTCAGTGTGTCTATTCTTTGGTTTTTCATTCTACTGGGGTGCTAGAACCTCTCAGCAGATCTCCCAGGCTCCCAAGCGGTATTTGGTATTTCTGCAGGGTTTGAGGGCTGGAACCTACTAATCCACCAACTTGCTGACGTCAGTCAGGGTGCCTTTTATCTGAATAGTATTATTTCACACAAAATGCTATCTCTGAGTTTACTAGCTCAGAGGCAAAATAAAAACAAAACAGTTAAATATATAAGGTAACATTATTAAATCTCACATTTATTCCGTGCACAACTACAATATCTCAAAGCATTATACAGGTTCCTGCTTAATGCCTAGTTCATCAGTGCTTGGAGTAGCTAGTTCCATAAACTTCTGAGGTAAGTAAGAATCTGTCTTATTTTATTATTTAATGACTATATATGCAGATTATAGTAACCATGAAATTTCTAAGGCAAAAAAGATGGCTTCCAAAATAGAAAAAGAAACTTCAAAGATCTATGGAATTAAGCTTTTAATTATGCACATATGCATATACAATTATGTGTATCATGTATTTGCTTTGTCACCATAATCTTTGTCTAGTCAATGACTGCAAAAGTGGTATGTCAGTATATACTTAAAGAATTATAGGAAAGAGGCCGGGCGCGGTGGCTCAAGCCTGTAATCCCAGCACTTTGGGAGGCCGAGACGGGCGGATCACGAGGTCAGGAGATCGAGACCATCCTGGCTAACACGGTGAAACCCCGTCTCTACTAAAAAATACAAAAAACTAGCCGGGCGAGGTGGCGGGCGCCTGTAATCCCAGCTACTCGGAGGCTGAGGCAGGAGAATGGCGTAAACCCGGGAGGCGGAGCTTGCAGTGAGCTGAGATCTGGCCACTGCACTCCAGCCTGGGTGACAGAGCAAGACTCCGTCTCAAAAAAAAAAAAAAAAAAAAAAAAAGAATTATAGGAAAGAAAAGGTTTCTTCAGAGCTCACTCTATTCTATCCTGTGTTTGCTTGTTTATTTATTTATTATGGATTGACTGACAGGGTCTTGCTCTGTTGCTCAGGCCGGGGTGCAGAGGCATAACCATACCTCACTGTAACCTTGAACTCCTGGCCTCAGGTGATCCTCCCACCTTGGCTATATAGATAATTCTATACACTGCTAGTTTTTAGTACCACAAAGTGTTATGGTAGGTGATTTCAAAATAGTTTCGCCATGTTATTAATTTCCAGATCCCAGTTTTGTTTCTTTAGCTTTCCATTTATTTCTAGTTTGCTGGACTTCCTCTTAAAACTGTGGGGTTAAGGCAAGGCAGTTCCAAATGTAGTTCCTTATACACAAAGGGAAAGTAAGAACACCAAACACCAAAATCAAAATGTTCTAATAAAAAAGTTTATCTCTTTAAAATGTTGAATACACAGATTTAATAATTCTTTTTTTAAAAAATTGATTAGCTTCTCATATAATCATTAACCCCAACCTATAGTCCACTGTAAGTATCCTCTTAATTTGTTAAAGCATATTAGTTAGTCCATTAATTTCATCTACTTTTCCAATCTATCAATCTGTGATTCCTTTTACCTTTCTCTTATTTTGGGTTTCTTATACCTTGATCAAATGTCCTACTTTTTCTTAGTTTATTCCTCATTTAGGTGGAACACATCCTCCATTAGCCTTTTGAGAAGAGAATGTGTAGATTGTGTATTTTTAAAATCTTTTAGGTTTGAAAATGACTTTTTTATAGTTTCACAATGGGTTCTTAGTTTGGATTGGTATAGAAATCTAAATTATAGGTAATTTTTATTCAGATATTTTAAGAATTGCCCTTTAACTTCCAGAGGTACTATTAAGAAATCCAGTACATTTAACTTTTGTAGTATGTGTCTCAAGTCTGTTTGAGTTGCTGTAAAGGAATACCTGAGGTTGGGTCATTTATTTAAATAAGAGATTTGGCTCATGGTTCTGCAGGCTGTACAAGAAGCATGATGCCAGTATCTGCTTCTTGTGAAATCTTCAGACTGCTTACACTGAGGGCAGAAGGCAAGAGGAGCCCATGAATACACAGTTCACATTGCGAGAGAGAAAGGCCAGGAGTTAGCGGTATGGGGGTGCCCAGGCTCTTTGTTTTTTGTTTGTTTGTTTCTTTCTTTCTTTGAGACAGTCTTACTCTGTTGCCCATGCCGGAGTGCAGTGGCACAATCTCGGCTCATAGCAACCTCCATCTCCCAGGTTCAAGCGATTCTCCTGCCTTAGCCTCCCGAGTAGCTGGGACTGATTACAGGCATGTGCCACCACACTGAGCTAATTTTTGTATTTTTAGTAGAGACGGGGTTTCACTATGTTGGCCAGTCAGGTCTTGAACTCCTGACCTCAGGTGATCCGCCCACCTTGGTCTCCCAAAGTGCTGGGATTA